CACCACATTTTGCGAAATGTGGTGCTTCAATACATGAATCTCCAAGTTATAGTAAATTTTGATTTTCAATGATGTTGCCGTTTTGGATTGAAGCACCGCATCTCACGAGATGCGGTGCTTCGCACGCTCATAAAATCACTATAGCCTTGAGAATCATGTATTGAAGCACCACATTTCGCGAAATGTGGTGCTTCGCGAAAAGTGGTGCTTCAATACATGATTCTCAAACCCCAAAAGGAGTACCACATTGCGCGACATTATTGATTTTCAATAATCTCGCTGTTTTGGATTGAAGCACCGCATCTCACGAGATGCGGTGCTTCAATACATGACTCTCAAAGGCCAAACGGAGGACCACAATTCGCGAAATGAGGTGCTTCCCTACAGGGCTTGCAAACACTCAATATACTCACCAAATGAAGCACAATTTGTCAAACAACCTGAGAAGCTGATTTCTTACAATTTTTTTTGACAAGATTGAAATCTTGATGTCCAAATCACATCTTCTTGATCACGAAGTTGAAGGTATCTTTTTAAATCTGAGCAAATATAAGCCAATTTTGAAACACTATTAGGGTGTCATGATATCTTATAAGTCAATTCAATCAGATGTTCAAGCAACAAGTGAAGAGGTTGTTCAAAATCAATTGAACAACCACTTCAAAAGGCCATTGGAAGGAAAAGAGAATTGTCTTTGACGTGTAACCCTTGTGAGATAATACTCAGTTCACTCACCAACTGCCAAGATTTCAAATAGAACCAACTTGTGTTTGACCTTGTGCGAGTCAACACCTCTTCCCTCTTCCCTCTTCAGCCCACTTCAATCCGATTTTGACTCACATCCAACAACATTCTTTTGCTTTATTTAACACCCCAAACAAATATAATCATGCCACTTACACCAGCTCAGAGCCTGAGTGAGTTTTTGCTTGTCCGTTTTGGCCTGATCAGGTGCTGACCAAAGACTCAGACGATTTGATGGACTTATCGTTTGGACCCAATTTGGGGGGAGAGGGACTGGCTAATTCCCCCTCAATTGCTGTGTCTCTCCGTGATCTGAACAATCATAGACCCCTTGGTGAGTCACTCTCCTTTCTAATTCAACCCCCACCCCTTCCTAATGTTTCGCCGCACCAGGATCCCGCGAGACACGTTCTCCAGATGGGGACAGACATCGTCCTTGAACCAATAGGTCCCAGAGTCCCAATCGACGAGGGACCCTTTCCCAGAGTGAGAGGTACCCACGTGAAACTCCACCATTGGATAACCACGAGGGCATGAGCTACTCCCGACCACTTGCTGGAAGCAATCTCCAGGCATTTCAAGCTTTGTGCCAGGATGCCGGCTTGGATATTGACCATGAGTTAACCGCACAAAACCTTGCACAGGTGAATTTTGTCATTGTCTTTCCTTCCACCTATATTCAAACTGTGCTTTGCAGGTATACGGAGTGGACAATTGACACATCGCCCAATCCACGTTCCTGGCCCGTATCTTGGCGAAGCTATCCAACATGGAAAGCAAGGTAGATAGCCTCACCCTTGAGGTTGCCAACCTGAAGGACACTGTTGAAGAGGCGTTGACCACGGCTACAAACCACCCAGAGGAGGCCACTAATAGGACCAACAATGCTCCCGTTGTTTCCCAAGCTGTTTGGGTGGCAAGCAAAGAGCTCAACGTAAGCCAAAACCTAAGCATTCCACTCTGTTGAAACTGATGCAGGTTGAGGTTACAGCAACTGATTGTTGGGAAAGCGATGGAGATGATCACTAATCCCATCTTGGAGGCTTACACCGCTGTGGACACTGGTGGTCGTGGTCGTCGTGCGGGAAAAAAAATCCAGGGGGTTTGGCTGCCCCATTCCCTATTCAACACCATCAAAGTGCGTCATAAGAACTCATTTTATTAGGTATACCTTCACACAGTGACATCAATTACCCACGGTATCAGCAACATTGCAACAGTCAATCTCCAGCATGGAAAGCGGATCACCTTCCCCCCAAAAACCTAGGTATCACCGATGCAACAGCTACCAAGTTATATCACAAAGCTATCAGAAATCATTTGAAACATGTGCGTGAGAGGTATCACAAGTTGGTTAGTACTTCAATTCAAACCAATTGAGCATCGCCCTCATCCTATTTGCGCTGATATTAATCTGAAGCTTTTGACCGGCATTGACGAGTATCACAATTCCAGCCACGGAGAAGGAGACGGGGCACGTGAGGGTGAAGGCGAAGGCGAAGGAGATGGCAACAGCGAACCACGCGAAGGCGAAGGCGAATCCAGAATTGTGGTACCTTACATAGAGGATCTGATGTACTTGGTCAGTCAGTATTGGGTCAAAGTATATCTAAACCGAATCTGACATGGGTGCATTACTAGATTGCCCAAAAATTTGACACCGTTGGCAAACATGCAAACTCCGCCTCGTTGTGGGCGTCCACCTCGGGTGCTACGCGCGCCAGGCTAGCATACTTGGTCAGTGTGCTCTTTTTGGTGTCCCCCACACGTGTTCAGAAACAACTGACGCTGTAATTATCATCCCGAAGCGGCGCGAAGCAGCACGCATCTACCAAATTGGCCGAGGCTCCAGCTCTATATGGGACGCGGTTGATGGACAGCTGAACGTTTTGAGATCAAAACCGGGCAATTATTCGGTTTCGTCAGTTTTTTCTTCCTACTGTCGTGGAATCAATGTATTTGAACTGACGCGATCAAATGATGCAGGTTTTATAGCCTGGTATATGCCAAAGATAAGGAGGTTTTTACTGGTAAAACAACCTTTGTTGAGGTGAAGAAAAAATATGACTTCAAGTTGCCATCGGACGTCGAGATCATCGCTGGTATACCGCTACAAGCCACTCCTGAGTGAAGTTTCGAGGTCAATCACAGGGAAAGGGCCAGCATCGCTTGGAATTTTAATCTACCCAGCCAATTGTGAATCCGATCAAGCTATCAAATATCTTGTTTTCCAAACTGTCTTCTCTCTTTTTGCAATATGATGATGATGACCCAGATCATCATCTTTCTGTGCCTAATCGTGAGCGCATGGCTTGATCGCCATTGCCGAGTCAAATCTATATTTTGGATTGCTGAGCTGTAAACCTGGGCGGGGATGGATGGATTCAGGGCTCACGCGGCACCAGGTGCGGGTTATTCTATCGGGGCCAACCCCCCGTGACCGCCATCCGGCAGACCAATTATGGCCTTATGGCGGTTTAGCGGCGGCCTGTGGGCCGCACCACCTACCGCCAAGTGGCGGTCGACCGCTGGGACCGGTCGAAATACGGCCTTGGTGCATTTTGGAATTGACCGCCTGAAGTCGGACCCCTAAGGCGGCCTGGAGGTGGTCTCGGCCGTGCCGCGGTGTACAGCCTCGAGTCACCGGTCTTGTTCAGGTTATTGATTGATGAAAAGTCGGGCCCATCTACTGTATTGCTTTTGGGGTTCTGCAGCAAATTGATAGGTACCCCATTCCTGGCGTTCATTCACTTTCACTTGACCTTCGACTGATTCGACATCATCTCTCGTCAACTTGTACAAACCAATTTTTAGAGTTCTTAATTATGCATGCTCAGTGCTCCCTTTGCATTCTTGATGTCTTTTTTGGTTTCCATTCTTTACATGTTAAGGATTGTTATGTAGCGGGTATGGTTTCATTGCATGGTAGTGCCATTGGTTTTGGACATGGATGTATGCGTGGTGATTAATATGATGAGTGGTTTCTTTTGGTGTCGATCCAATTTCTTCTAATATTTTGAAACTTGAAAGGTCTTAAAATGCTATTTAAGGGAGTGTGCCTTATGGATAATTTCCAATTCTAGGGTGGTATGCTGTTCTGTTGACCTTTCATGTCAAAAGTATGGCATACTAGAGAGTGAGAGTTGAATTCAAATTCAGTTTACCGTGTACTTTACACTTTTTATTTTTTGATTCTCATTCTCATTCCCATCCTCATCTCATCCTCTCATCAATTATCATTCCTCATTCTCTACTACTCATCCATCAGCTCCCATCAATCTTATCCTCTTCAACTTGTCTCAAGTTGACTTCTTTCAATTTAAAAGTAAATGATCTTTTGAAATCTCGTCCCTCATTCTTTGGCTTCAACTTCAATCTCAGTTCTTTTCTCTTTCTTTATCGTCTTCCAGTATCTCATTGGTTAGTCTCTTTCATTTCTTTTATTCCTCATTCTCTTTCTTCTACTAACCTCCTTTGCAATGGGTTAACTAATCTAACTTGATCTTGACAGATACCTTCGCATTCTCACGACTATTCTAACTTTCAACTCGATCGTCGATAGCTGAGCTACCTGGACCATCTCTCAGTCTCACTAGCCGCATTGTCGCTCTCAACCGCATTGTTGGCGTCTAGCCTGGGTCCTGGCTATCTTCTTCACACTTTAGAACTTCTTAAATGTTGGTAGGACTCTTCTTTCGCCTTTTTTTCTCACTGATGAAGCGCGTATCAGACCAGGCAAGCTTGGGTTCAAACTCAAATACGTCAACATGAGACATGGTTACATGCCGGGTAACTTATGTACTGCATCTGGCGATCGATCATCATGGGGCTGGAGGGCTTTTCGATCGATCTTCTCTTATGTTTCTAGTGTGATCATGTTGGGATAGCTTGAAAGTTGAGGTCATGTCATCGATTTTCCTTACCTGTTGTCAGGTTGCATATGGTTGCACATACTTTTTTGGTTCACAGCAGCAGACCAAACCCCGCCTCCAGCCTATCCGTTCAATCGCTCTCGTCTTGGCCTTTGGTCCATATGCGTGCTATCAAGCGTATCATATCCCGCATCTCACATCTATTTTTTGTGGTATCACATATCCTAGTGGCGTCAATCTGCACCGAAACGCTTAGTAGTTGGTTGCTGCCCTGGTATACGAGACATCCAACCTATCATTTTTCTTGGCCTCGCGCCTCAGTTCAAGTTGGCTGGGATTGGTGCCGCAGCTCCTAATTTGCCACTCTTTCTATCAATTTACCTCTGACAAGCCGCCTGTGTTTGATTCTCCTCTAGAACAAGCTTTGTTTTGAGAAAGAATTTGCTGACGATTGCGTTTCCCCTGGTCTCTGTTGTGGATGGTAATTTTATCTCTGGCGCTACTCCTGGATCTTTACTGCACTCAGTCTATTTGGTCCGATCCCAGCTTTTTGAGTCTGCGTTGAAGCCTTCGCCATCGGTTGGCATACTGTCACACCGTAAGTTGAATATCACCTCGACTCGACTCTCAGCTCGTAATGTCCACACAAACCCACGGCGCTACAATCGGATTACCATGTATTCAAACGAACGAACGCGACCTGCCATTCTACCCTGGCTATGTATCTGGTCCAACCCAGCAATCCCAAACTGGAGCTACGAGCAGGAGCATCGCACCGCCAATTGGTGCCGATTGCGGTTCAGAGGATCACAATGGCGCTCTGTCTCGAAACCGGTCTCATATCGACTCCAACTATGTCCAGCAACCCTTTTCAAACGCACATGCTTTTTTTCCCGAAAAACAGGTGGACTACAACCCATATATGCATCCCGAAGGCTCTTATGACCCCCCTCTTCCGGATGGATCTACCTCTTCTACTCCCGGGACAACGAATCACACTTTACCTGGCATCCTTCACGAGCGACCCTCGCAATTACGAACCAGTCAAGCCTCTGATTGTTTCGGTCCTCCGGTCTCATCCCAGCAACTCAACGAAAACACATGCTCTCCCAGCACCTTTTTTGCGACTCACAAAGCGCACCGCTCATTCCGGGGTGTTGTCGAGAAGTTTCACCAAAATTCAGATAATGGCTCAGGTGCTGCAATCCATGAAAGTGCGGACTGGCATACATGGAATCCTAGCTCCAAAGAGGCTTTCACTAACGCGCTCAAGCCGAACAATCCTTCGGCAAGCAACCGAGATCTGACAGCGTCCCGACACCCAGCCCAATATCCAAGTCAGGCAGAGCCTCAAGAAATGCCCGCACCTTACATTACTCGATCCCAAGTTCACCGTCTTGCCGAAGCCCGCCAGGACCCCACCCGAAATCAGGCTGCGCACGTGCCTTCCAACTCCGGCACAAGATCGCCTTTTCAACATCAATCGCCTTCTCACCCCCATCTACCAACGACATCGCGCCCTAAATCAAGCATCAAAACACGATCCAGTCAGTCTTCTAATGTCGCTACCGCCGAACCCATAAATAATTCAAATGGCCAAACACGTGGAAGTGGAGAAAGATACAATAAGGACCCTGGCGAACTTAAGATAGACATTCATCTTTCTGGTCCAGAACGCACCAATGATGGTTTGCCGAGTAACAGTCACCATCTCCTAAATAGCCCCGAGAACAACTCGTATCGAGTGTCATCGACCACACAGACGTTCCAGAATCGAGAGTCGGTGCCCCAGAATGCCAAACCGACACGAGAACGTGGCACCTCCGCTGCTTTGCGTCAATCAGTTGATCAACCTTACGAACAGGCTGCATCGAATCCCCGGCAGTCCAATTCGACATTCGCAGGGACGAGAACGCATCTTAACCGCAATCGACATGGTCCAGCTGAAGAAGTACGACCCCACCCAGATGACGCAGCATCGCTCCTATTGGCTCTTTCCCGGAGCGACGAGGCCAAACATGGAATGGCTCTTCGTCGAGGGCGGGGTAGTGCCCCTCGAAATGGAACGTCCCAACCAGATTCATCAACGACCCAGGTTTCATCCGATAAGCCTGCTGCCCCATCAACCCCAAGTGGGCGAAGATACCGGACGCGTAGTCAAATTCATGACGAATTTCCCCCTGTAGATCATGGTCATCATCCGAGCCACCCATCTACGATCGACCCAGGTGAGTAAACTGAATTTGGAATGGCACTTGTGGCGTTCATCTGACAAAGTATTTGACTCTGTAGCATCTGCTCCCATCTACGCCACGAGAGCTCGGGGCGCAAAAGCCGGGCAATCACACCCTCACCATCTGGGTCATGGTCTCCCGCCATTGCCTGATGCAGATCATTATCTCCCGCATCTCTCTGTTTCAGGATCGACCGCTGCATCCACCTGTACGTCACAATCGGTCGATGATGGTCACTCAATCGCCGTTCAAGCACATGAGAATTTCATGGGTCATAATTCATCTTATCAACCTCAGAACAGAGGTCGAGCCCGCATTTCCGATTGTTCAACTACTCCCAGTGTGATGACTACAGGCACAGTCACGTCGAACTCGACCACATTTACCGGTGCTGTCGACGATGACGCTAGGAGTTGCTTTTCCATTTCAACTCAAGCGACCAGTCTTGCCTCTCCTGCCGAACATCTCACACAGCGAAGGTTTTTTCCCCCAGAAGTACCGATCGACCCACATTTCCCGCGTCTGTATCGAGCGTTCTATGTATCAAGCGCCTTTGGAGAACGAGAGATGATGAGATCAGAAGCCGAACGAAGTGGAATCGTGATCCCAAAAGAACCACCCAATGGTGTATATAACTCACCTGCTCATGGACATCTTGATCTCTATACGCCGAGGTTTGTGAAAGGTGTAGGAAGTGAAAAGGTTGGATTGTGTTGTATCTGCGCGGAACCTCGACAGAGAGGGGGTGAAGACCTTCAGTTATGGTTAAAAATGAAAGTTAGCAGTTATTCATATCACTTGGGGTTCTTTCATGGCATCAACAATGCCAATGGACTACCCTTCTCACCACCGGTCGAGATCCGATTGACGAAACGTGGTCAAGTAGCGGCCAACGAAAAGTCTGAATTGAAGGAAGGACGATGCCATCAGGTGAATTAGTTTCATGAATTTCTCAACTTGGGTGGGGCTTCTACTGATCATATGGTACAATTTTGGATCTTCCTGATGCGTAAACCACAGTGCGATAAATGGATTGCGATGGAAGGAGTGAAGTTGCAGGAAGTGAAGGTGCCTGAGTTGTTTTGGTGGAAACACGCTAAAAGGCAAGTCTTTTTCTTGGTTTTCCTTATGTCCACTGTCTTCTCTCTCCAATGACCCAAAGAGGCAAGAATACTAATGTTTACAGAGCCAACCTGTTGGGATCTTAGTTGTCACAAATCTCGCCTTGCGGGAGAATGTCATGTACACGTTGAGGATGACCTTTTTGATCTGGTCACCAATCAAAGAGGAGCTCAAGCACCATTGTCCTCGGGCTCGACTGGTTCAAAAGGCTATCAGTTTCCTACACCCTATCAATTCTCACAGAACAATTGTAATGGGACTGCATCCCCTGCTCTCACCGTTGCATCTGGTGGGGGCGGAAGTGTGAGCGGAAGTGGGAATCGAATCCATCCATCCGTGGCCGCTCAGCGAGCAAGTGCCGGACGGGTCTATAAGCGTAAGGCTAGCAATAGTAGTTTGATCGGTGGAGGAACAGCGATGAAAGAAAGTTATTCGCCTCACTCTGTTGGTTTTACACCTAGTACTAGCTCAACTTTTAATCTTTTAAACCATCATCAACAAGCTCAATCACCTACACCTCAACCCTCGTATGAAAATACATTTCCGGTAAGAAAGACACGTCGGACGAATGCTATGAAGCCAAGCAATCGGACCACATCGGCTCAGTATGAGTCTGGATCGTAGAAACAAAAGATTATATATATGAAAAAAAGATACACCAGAAATAAAGAATATATATATAAAAGATGTACTTGAAGGTTAAGTAACCTTCCAAGCGTCAGAAAGGTGTAGATTATATTTAATGAGTAGGAGCTTTGGTGTGTGGTTGAAGAGAGAAAGAGAGAGGGTAAAAAAAATGCACAATGTCATCATCATTTGATGTGCGCGCCGTTTACGTACAGATTTGAACTGAGTGAAGAAAGTTGCAAGCAGTGTATACTTTAAGGCATATAAAATGAAATAAAACCATGTTTCATGACTTGTGTTGCCGTGTCCCTCTTGAGACTGATGATCATCAAGTCTTGGATTGAATGAGGCAAAGGAAGTCAAAGCTACTGACTCGCCAGGATTATGCTTCATTTCTACATACAACTTAATGATGATATTGCTTGAGCAGTCGATCAAAAACAGGTGTGTATGTAATCGAATTGCACAGTCCTCAGCAAGCCCTGCTCCCCGGGCAAAGGATTCTCGGGTGCGTACAGACCCGAGTACCTGTCCGGGGCTTTTATCGATCATGAAACTGGGAAGCAGAAGACCAAGGACTGATCAGCTCGAGGCATTTGCTCAGCATTTATTAACAAACCATCATCAAAATCAAAAATGTCATCAAATCAAAAGAAAAGAACTAAAAACGATCAAGATCAAGCTCATTCATCTGCTAAAAGAAACAAACCGTAAGCTATCATCTCAAAACTAAATGATATCATTTCAATAAACTAATCAATTCTTTCAATTTCCATCACTAGTTCATCTGTTAGTTCTACTCTCATTTAAAAAATAACAATCAATCTATCAAGTTCCACTCACTCTACTTTTGTTTTAAAATTAAAACTCATTCGGTTTAGTCTACTCTTTCTTTCCTTCCACCTAAAGGCGATTTATCCGATTTGGCTAGTCAACCAGTTCATCAACTTCAACAACAACAATATCAAGTTTCAAATGGAGCTCCTTCAAAGGTCGCTGTGAGTTAATCTTTAATCCAAAATCCACATTAGATGTTATCCAAACTCATGACACTCATATCAAACTACTCAAGTCCGCCGAGGAAATCGCTCGAAAGCGTGCAGAGATCGCGGCCAAATTTGCGTCTTTCAAAAACCCGTCTGCTTCACTCAATCGTCCTCAAGCTGGTCTAGCCTCCACTATTGTTCCTATTGGTTCAACTCCGATGTTATCGGCTCCTAATATCGATCCAAACTTGGCCAAAAAAGTTGCAGAGGCGCGAAAGACAGTAGAGGAATTGGCTGCGAAGGCAAAGAATCCGTATCTAGTTTGTTATTCAATTTGCAATCACTCATAATCTTTTTATTTTGATGCTCATGAACTTTTTTGGATCCTGATTAGTCTCATCCATCTGCACCTGCCGAGCCCATCGGATCTGGTGCAACAAGTGGTGTTCATCCACTCTTGATGGCACAAGACCCATCAAGCTCATCTACTTCTTCTGGTCTCAAAAATCGTTACAAGCCTATGGTACCCAAATTTGCCACAGTCAAAGTTTCGTACACGCTTTCATCTCACTTTTCATTTCGCTTCACGTGTTGATTTCAAATTGATAACTGACAACCTTTTTCTTGACTTAGGCCAATGCAAGACCTTCACTTCCATCTACAGCTTCTTCTTCAAAACCAGATTTATCAGAAGCCTTACTAGTAGATGAAGAAGCAGTCGATCAAAGATCTAATCCACATTTCGATCGATCACTTGCTGGTCCACTTGGTGATCCATCAGGAGTACATCGAGCTAGACCTGTTAGAGCATTGAGGTTTAATCCAAAAGGAAAATTTGTTAGATTGGCTGAACAAATTAGATCTGAGGCTAGATTAGAAGAACTTAAGAAACGGATTGCTGAGAGTTCTAGGAAAGCTGGGCTGGATGGAGAAATCGAAGCTGTTGAAAAACAAGTTAGGGTAGGCTAATTCATCAGTTGATCTTTATTCTAACCTCAACTTTCTCCTGCTTTCTTTTCTTGTTAACTCTGATGCATTTTTTCCATTGATCAGAGACCGGCACCACCAGATTGTGAATGGTGGGATGAAGATTATCTACCGAATCGAACATATGATGATTTAGAAAGTGGAGAAGCATCCAAACTAATCAGATCATCAGAAGATTCGCCCATCACACTTTATATTCAACATCCAATCCAACTTCCAGGACCAGGTGATCGAAATAAAGTGGAACTTAAACCACTTAAACTTACGAAAGCTGAACAAAAGAAGATGAGAAGACAAAGAAGAATGGCAGAGTTACAGGATAAACAAGATCGACAACGAATGGGTTTACTTCCTCCTGATCCTCCAAAAGGTAAATCTTATTATATTTCTTTTTCCGTTTCATCCTTTAGAATCTCCAGGCTAAAGGAGATTTGTCTTACATTTTTGGTTTTCGTTTTTGATTAGTTAAACTTTCGAATATGATGAAAGTTTTAACTTCAGATGCAGTAGCAGATCCAACTAAGATTGAAGCAAGAGTAAGAAGAGAAATGTTGCAAAGACGAAAAGCGCATGAAAAAGCCAATGAATCAAGACAACTGACAGATGAACAAAGAAAAGAAAAGATTGAAAAGAAGAGGGAAGTAGATGAGACGCGTGGGATTTTTACAAGTGTCTATAAGTTTGTGATCTTCTTCTTTGAGTGACTTTAAAAGACTGATGAAGTAGAAACTGAGAAATGTTTGATTTTTTTTACATAGGATCAAGTATCTTACTAATCCTGCACACAGGTTTAAAGTTCGAAAGAATGCAGAACAACATGGTTTAACAGGAGTCTTAATCTTTAATCCACGTTTCGCCTTAGTAGTAGTCGAAGGAGGATCGAAAGGGATTCGAGCATATAAACATTTAATGTTAAATCGAATAGATTGGACAGAAGAACCAAGAGCGAGATCACCGACAAATATCAATGGGAATGAAGAAAAAGGTGAAAAAGGAGAAGGAGAAGGAGGTGAAGAGGAAGGCGTTCCGATCAGTTTGGCTGATAATAAGTGCGAAATGATTTGGGAAGGTGAAGGTAGAGAAAGAAGTTTTAAAGAGTTTAGACCTAAGAATTGTCCTTCGGATTCGATTGCAAAAGAGTTTTTGGGATCTAAACTTGGGTTTTGGTGAGTTGATCTTAATTTTTCATGTCTTCTTTTTTGCAGTTTATCTTGTAAGATGTAGTTGAGATTAATTCATTTGATTTTTTTCGGTTGAAGGGATGTGGCTAAGAAATGGGGAGAAGATACGGTTGGATGATGAATGATTTGTTCAATGTTTGTTGGGAGTGAGATTGTGATCATCAAATATTATGATGGAGAGAAATCGAAAACTTTGGAAGAAATGGATCAGAGCTGAATAGAATGATTGATCCAGGATTTGTAGAGATTTGGTGTTAAGACTAAGACATTCAATTGTGACTTTGTGACTTTGTATGTTATACTTTGATTAGACTTGATAATCAGCGGGTTGAGTGTAGTGATGTGGAACAAATTGAATCATTGCATTAACCTGGAATAAATGAAACGTACACTTGAAAAATGATTTGTTTGAAGTCTTTTGTAAATTTCATGAATTTTGAATTGACAAAAATCAAATAGATTGTGCACAATAGGGATTTTGTATCCTTTCAGAATGTAATCGCTGAGATGAATTTGTTTGAGCTCAGTGACCCTTGATTTAAAGAAGTTCATATGTTACTGGTATGTATTTAAAGCTTATGAGTTTTGAGGTCTGGTGATAATTACAAAGAAAGTTATATTTACCACTCTGAACAATTTAAATACATTTTTTAACACAAAACCTGATTTGGTGTAAGGGTGAATCAATCTAGGCAAGATATGCACTTTGAAGTTTGTATCTATAGAAATATCATTCTGCAGACAGGCATATTTGAAAACTCCACAGCTCTTTTTGAAAAGTGTGAGGTTCTGTCAATTGAAGGTTTCAAGAGAAAGTCATGCCAGGTTTCATGTGGATTTCAAAGATAACTGTGGTGCCTGTAATATACTGATACTGTTCAATTCTCAAAACTGACTGTTTGCTCAAACAAATTACAATTCTTGATCAATCAATGATTTGGTTCCTAAGAATTTTGCATCCCCTTCTATGCCAACTCTAGTCAATCAGGCTGAGATAAATTAAGATATCCTTAGGCCATATCTTTCCTGCTGAGAAATAGACGGAGGAGTGCCCGTTGTTAAACTGATTGTACCCCCTATTGAAGGATATCTTGTTGATAGAGCAGTTTGCAGATAATTTTAAATAACCAAATTCTCATCAAACCTTCAGCAAACCTTCAGTAAACATGGAATGCAGCAACAAGGCGCGCAACTATCTACCGACAATCAAGGAAAGATTTATTTATCAGGCAAGCTTGAAAATTTTAACTCCCACTTGATAAACGGCTGTGTTTCCTTGCGTCCCTCAGTGTTAGTGGTTTCCTCTCCCGGTGTCTCGCCTCAAAGTTTCGGATCGAACGAGGTCCATCAAGCTTTTTTGTCAAGGTTTTTTTAATTCAAGAGATGATGAGATCTCAGTTTCAGTATCTGATCAGCGTAGATGTGCTCGGCTATGATGGTGATCAAGAAGTCAGATGGCGTAAATGTTCCATCTGCGTTATATGATCAGCTGCAGAACACACCCGCACAACAGACTCTTGGCGATTGATTTTGCACCAAGTTGGACGCGAAGAAGAATTGGACCGGTAATTCACCTGACTGACAGCACTGGTGACGCAACAAATGAAGAGGACAGTATCTGACTGTGTGTTTCACACTTTGTGGAGGGGTTGAAACAGTTGTGCGGGGGAGGGTGCTGTGAATTGACCGGCGTGTTTGACGAGGCGAACAATTTATAAAAAGCTCGCCAACTTATCGTTTACGGACCCTTTGATTCATCCTACCAAGTTTGCCCCATGGCCACACACACCAAACATGTGCTGTGGACCTTCACCAATCATACTTTTCTCTCGCTTCGCCGCTGCACGGTTTGTGATCCTGATCCAATCTGCATCGATCGATACCTTGACGAGGCGTCCAACATTGCCCTAAGGCTACATCTTGTACATACTGACGTTTTTCTGAGATCCGGTCGAGGCTGAGCAACTGCAATACTGGATGATGATACCTAGCTTGTAACTTGCTCACTGAGCAGCCAAATCACTCCAAACGCTGCGAGCCCCACTTGATAAATTTGCTGCAACTCCAAGCAGACAGCTAGGTTAAGATGCGGATTGAAACTGGCTGAAGCAATGAGTTGATGTAGTGTTTCAGCTCAGTTATAGTCCGATTCGAGCCAGTGTAAGTCTAGAGACCACTGCGAATAGATCCATGCTTTGGTATCAGCATTCCATCACCTGTTCAACTCTTTGCCCCTCCTCGCATCATTTTCAACCTTGGCTTATTTGTCGCACAAGTACCAGAACCATTCGACATACCCTCACATCGACGTGCTACCTACAGAGTGTTCCGCTGGATTTATCGGAGGGACCAAACCCCTCGTTTGCGATTCCACAGTGTCTACTGTCTATCGGAACTATTGGGACTAGCCAGCATCCAAATTTATTTACAGCAGTTTTCTAGAAGTCATGTCTCGACTCTCACTAAATACCGCACCTGACTTGACTTGTGTCACTTCTTTGTCCGATTCGTCGTCCCTCAACGTCTACCACGCTGTCCACAGCTTCCTAAGGTCCAAGACTGAAGTATGCATTTTGATTTTCATGAGCAGTGTCACATTCTCTCCCGTCGTTTGATCGAGATATCTGAGCAGACCTCTGATCATCTTCTATGCTGAAACACTGATAGCCTCCAAGCAATCCCAAATGGGCGCGGGCCATTTTGATCACTATGTTGCTCGCACATATCATGTAAGTCTTCTCTGTTTAGCTTTGGGTAAGACTTCCTGATGGTATATTGATGGATAATTCCATCAACCAGTATGCTCCTACTGGCCTCATCTGTGCTCTTGCTTCGGATTCTAAGCAAGAAATTTACCTTGGCATCTATCACTCGGCGTAAGTCTTGCATTACAAACCCGAAGCAACGCAAGAACAGATTTTGCTCATCGGGAAACTATCACCCTTTCTTCACAATCGTTTCCATCGACGGCTTATGATCCAACAATCTTCTGGTGCAATCGGATCGACACTAACACAAGACGGGGTACTGAGACCAAATGCAACCGGCTGCGTCACCCTGTGCTGCATACTTTATGATATTTGTATGTCCAAATTGTTTTAGTTGAGAATTTGGCTGTGTACATTGATCGGAGAGCTTCATTCACTCACGGAACTTCTTTCTTTTGACACTTTAAAAGTTGCCGTCACTGGTCTAGGAATGCAGCTAGCGATTGATTATGGTATCAGTAATCCAGCAGCAAAGGTGCACATACCTGGAATAAAGTATGTCATTGTCTGGATTGGAGTTTGGTGAGTTCTTTCGCCTACGACCGTCGCAAAGGAAGGTATCCAGTATTGGCACTGATCAAATCGGCGACTTTCAGGTGCTTCTGTTGGAGTACAGCCTGTCAATATATATGCGCACGATGGGATCCGCCCTGGCAGTCCAATTCAATGGATCGCAAGCTCAACATTGTCCCCTTACCAGTTGTGATGATGCTCAATGTCATGTCCGTTGGACTGGCCATCATTGGTGTAGCGCGTGAGTAGCAGTGGGCTTCTGGTGTATGGATCTTCACATATAGAGTTGTTCTGATCAAGTAACTTTGCGAATTGCAGTTATCATGACGGTCTTCTCGTTGGCCAATTATCAGTACATACAACTGTCGGATGCAGTGAACTACATTGAAAAATCTCTTGCCGACAAATCTCTCGGTCATGATGCTCAGACTTATGAAGTATTGTCAAACTTTCCCAATATGCCATTAAAAAAGCTGGATCATCTCATTGTGAGTAATTTAAGCTTCTTTATCAGTGAGATCACTAAGCAAATCACTGAAGTTTACTCTCCATAGCATCGGTTTTCCTCTTGGCTAAAGATCAGGATATTTGTTTGTTTGGCACTCAACAGTACTCTTCTACTGGTTCGTAAACATTTCGTACATCATGCACACGTTTAGAAACCTAAAGCTCATAATGCGAAACATCCGCTATTCAGGTTTATTCGCCCTTTATCATCTTCACATACATTCAATTGAAGCAATATCGTAAATTTGCCCCAAAAGACTGGTATGAGAGTAAGAAGGGACCTCAAAAACATCAATCAAAGATGACAAGAGGCACTCGAATCGATTGTCGCAAAGAAATGCGCACTCTACTAGTTACCGCTGGTACCATTTATTCGGTTTTGATCGTGGAATGGCCTCTGCTAGTATGGGAAGTGAGTTACACACCAGCCACCGGCCTCGCGTTGATGTTTAACTTACAAAGTCTTCATACACTTGACGTTCATTCAGTATCTACATATATCGGCTGGCCATTGCCAGTCTGGAGAAGGGCTCGTGATCCGGGAGATGGTTTGTTGGGTGCTGAACATCCCATTAATTTTCTGCACTACAAAGAAACTAACTTGAAGTGACTTTGCCAGGCATCAGATGTGATCGTATCTATCATAGGGAATTTGTAAGGATCTTCCGCTCTCGAGATGTCTCCTGCTCAAATGGCTAACAGTAAAATTTGAACACATTTTCCCTATTCTTTGTTTCATTGCACTTGCTAGGGTCATTGGTGCAACGCTAGCTCAGACTATCCGTCTCATCCAACCTAATCCTTGGTCAATACGACGTTCCATTCAAAACAGATTTTCAAGACAGCCACCTCCACAGATCATAGAACCAGACAACACCCAGCCTCCTGTCCGAGAGCTCACAGTGAGCGTTCTGCAGGTAACCGAATCACAGGCGTCGGAGCAGTTGGACCAACCCAACTTTGATATTCTTCAAACCTGGGCCCAACGAAAAGCTCAATCCCAACTTCATGTTGATAAGGAAGACAAAGCAATGGAAATGGATCTACTCGATACGTCCGGATATCAACGTCACGATCTCTCTTAAGGCTCTCTTCTTCTGGACTCCCTTCATTCCCTCTATGTATTATTCTCTCGTCTTAAGGGCCCACTTCTTACATGTACTCTGAGCTGCGTATTCTTCGAACCTATAATTTTAGGCTTTAGTTAGATGCCTAAGATCAACTTGAGTGTTTATATGTTTATATCTTCTTGGTTATTGTTCATAGGTATTTTCATTCATTGGGGTAAGCTGGCATTATGTTTTGTTCTTATATTTACTATATACTTTTATTTATTCTCTGAGGTATCAAATCTGTTTATCAATTTCAAGACGGACGATTATTATTTCTTTGGCATTTTTATGGTTTTATAGGTCTCTCTCATGTTTCAAGTTTTATATTTTATATACACTGTAGTCAATCTTCCTATTTTTCATTGAAAAGTAAAAAACTCACGAGTCAAATATGGATTTGTACATGTACCTTTCTCTACCGGAGAAAAAAGGACCGGAACACTATGTCTCTCTGACCTCATATAAAGCAGCAAGAGCTGAGCGGATTTGTTACATGGTGCACTCGTCTATATATATCCATTTTTATCAAAGCTGTGTCACCTTTGGGTATGCAGATAAATTGGTACAACAAAGCAACTATTGCGTGTGCTCTCTTGTCTTTTGTCTCGAGACTTTGTATCTATATTTGATGTCACATCAAAATGCCATAGCATTCGGCAAAGTGAAGTAACTGGGATGTTTACCACCACTGGATAGGGAATGTGAAAATCATTATCGGAAGCTTCTGCTTGAATAACTTGGGCCAATATATTTCTGCACACTTGCATTTATTTGTGACGGTTGTGACTCTCGTGGTGGGCGTGGCGTGAAAAGCGCGCCTTTGAGGCGCGCCCGGGCGTAGGCGTGAGGGCGCGCCCCAAAAGTTGAAATATGGGGTGGGCGCGCCCTTTCAGCCTGTTCTGCCGTTTTCGGGCTTTCTCGCTGTTTTCTTACACCCCACCACCTCCATTCATGCCAAAGGACAATACCGAGACACCATCTGAGTGGATCTCACCAACTGTAAACTTTGGAAACTGATGGAAAGGTTCCCTTATGTCGAAAAAATCAACACGGCACCAAAAACCGCAGGCTTGCTCAATGCCAGTATTGTAAAGTTACAATATTCAATTTTGAAAATTTCCATTGTTCTCCATCCAAGTAATAAATATCTGCAAGAATTTATCCTCAGGCTTCCCCTTGCAACACTTTTGACAGTTTTTTTGTTCCTTTTTGATTTTTTTTGATTTTTTTTAATTTTTTCCATTTTTTTTGATTTTACATACTCAAAAGGCGCGCCCTTGACGCCCCCACTATAGGCGCGCCTTTGAAAAGATTTAGAAGGCGCGCTGGGCGCGCCCTAAATCCAAACCTCGCGCCCACCACGAGAGTTGTGACCTTCCATGATGATAGGGCGGCGCAGGGCGGCACTGCCTGGCCATCAAGGTCAATGCGCGATACTATCCGAGGGGATCTGATCGGAATAGACTCGCTTGCGGGTTTATGACCGAGACCCGGATCTGTGGGCTTCGGTCGGAGTCCCGCCGAATGTCAAAGTCACATGAAACCTAACCCTATTCCAGTGACAAACGCTCATCTTGCGGTACCGAGTGATGGCCAGTGCAGCATGATGGCGCCCACCGATTGAGAGAGCCCCTCCACAGGTAAACGATTTTCAATTATTTCGCGTGAGTACCAAGAATCTGAGGAAACTGCCGGTTGGCATTGAAGCTAATATCTTCTTCGCACGTATCAGTATTTTTCCTCTTTTCTTTCTAATCCGGCCAACATGAAGGATATCTACAAAGACGAGGAGTTGATTGTTCCGGAAGGTGTCAAGGTCGCCATCAAGGCCCGACAGATCACCGTGGAGGGCCCAAGGGGAAAGCTTGTCAAGGTAAGTTTGTGTTCAAGTCAATCGTCCCGAAAGCCTTTGCTGATGATATCATGATCCACTCGTTTTCAGCATGTTAAACACATCAACATGGACCTCAAGCTTCTCCAGACCTCAAAAGGTTTCGTTGTTAAATTTGTTGTCTGGCACGGTGGGCGTAAACACGTTGCCTGTCTTCGTACCGTCAAGTCATTGGTTGAAAACGTCAGTCGAGTGAAATACGCAATCCACAACTCACTCAGCACTCACTTCCGTGATGTTGTCCATAGATGATTACCGGTGTCACCAAAGGTTTCTTGTACAAGATGCGATCTGTCTACGCACATTTCCCAATCAACATCATCATTGCCGATGATGCTAAATCAGTCGAGATCCGAAATTTCTTGGGTGAGAAGCGAGTGCGACAAGTTCCTATGTTGGATGGTGTCACTGTGGCTGAGAGCAAGAACCAAAAGGATGAAATCACCCTCGAAGGTTGGTCACCAGCTCACAATCCAGCAGCGGCTTTTTATTCCTTTCGAGTACCGTTGTCTTACAATGTACCCCAATTTTCTCAATTTCCTAGGACTCGACCTCGACAAAGTCTCCCAATCCGCTGCCTCAATCCACACTTCATGTCTGGTCAAGAACAAAGATATCCGAAAGTTCCTTGATGGTACGTTTGGTTACCCATTTCGATCATCGTATCTTTATTCACCCATCTTGTTCTTCACAGGTATCTACGTGTCTGAACGGACAACGATCAACACGGATGAGTAAGGTATTCTATGACGGTCATCTTTCTCACCTCAATATCGGATTGCCAGCCGCTCACAGGCCACTTCATAGAGCCGGCGTTGGGTCTTTCCTGGAGATAGCCTATTCAAAACTATGCAATGAATTATTCTCACATGCGCTGGTGTTCTGCCTCGGTGTCCAGTCATCCTCCAGCTTTTAAGTCAAGTATCTGCGCTCTCATACTCCCCTGTCCTACTCGCTTGATGGTGGTACATCATGGCCCATATGCTGCTCAACCCAAGCCCATCACCCCGTATTTTGAGATTGTTGTCGATTGATTCTGACCTGGATCAAAGCGGGGTTGGATTCCTTCTGACACTTCGGCGGAGCGTTATACATCTACCAGGAGTACCACTCCCGCCTTGTCCTTTGACTCTTGTTGATGAAGCAGACATGCCTCCATCACACCGTCCTCCCGCTTACACAGCCACACTGTATCATTTCGCGCCAGCCGCTTGTGCAGTATACCATTGCATCTGATGCGCAAAAGCGAGATCTCCAACAATCTCTGCTAGTAACATCACGTGTCATGGGGTTCCCAGATCAGGTGCCCGCGCAGGGAGCACATTCAAAGGACACTAGGGTGAGAGTGCTGTCCAGACACTGCTAAGCAGTCACTGGTTGCATTGAAAAGGTGTCTTGCTTCAGTTAGTTGTGACTTGTGAGCTCATGCTTTATTTTCCAAAGCCGTTGTTTTCTTGCTGTCAGAGAATTTATGACAGACCAATACAAGCAAAATTGAAAAGACAAAGGGAGGGTTAGCTAATAAGATGACAGACAAAGATGCCAAGGTTGAATTCTGGCAGGAGGGTTTAGCTTTTGCTTTGCAAGAATCAAATTATCACCGTTGAGATTGTCCATGTTATCAGAATTTTCTCTGTGAGTGACAGCATCCATACTTTTCAGGCTGAGTTATGTTTTCTTTTTTCCATAGTGTAGATATTTATCCAAGTGAAGAGACTTGATTTTCTTTAGCCTGGAATTGGTCAAGGGTATGATTTGATTGAAGTTGTCAAATAGCTAAAGCCTGTCTACAGATTCTCAAGTGCTTGCATGATATCTTAGGATAATGCAGAAAAAACATTTTCCAGAGTCTGACTTTTGTAAAGGATGCTCATCTAGGTTTAAGAGATTGGTCACAACTCAAAGTCTTATCTTGCTACTCTTGTTTTTGCTTCTCAATGCTTGTGTTCATGGTATTTTTTGACCTCTGATATAGCCAGACAGGAAATTTTAGCCTGTCATGAAGTGCAAAAGTCTTCATGGAGGTTTGGTATTCTTACCTGGAGCTCTAGAGAGCATTATTGAACTGATATCACACCCAATCATGTCAGTAAAAGTACATCTTTAGAAGTAAACCAGATGCTTCAGAAATTATCTATTCAGAACACATATTAGCAATAAATCACTCAGAGCTATGGTAGTGGGATGAACCTGTGATTTTCTCAAGTGAGCTCCTTCAAGGGCATCAGCACTTAGTAAGCTCTCTTCCCAATTGATAAGGGTATCCAGCTGTTAATGGGTGAATGTGTGATACAGGCCAAGTGGAGTGAGGTATACATATTTGCTGCAACTCTAGTACCAAGCAAGATCAGGAATGATGTAGCACAAATCAGATTGGTTTCTTTGATTAGAGTAATCATTTTAATTTTCACAACTCTTTTGTATATCAAACTAATAAAAATTTCCCCTGCTTCCTTCAATTCATCCTTGCTTCTGTGTAATTTTGCTAATATGTGACTGGTTTCTTGATCCTTCTACTCAGGTCCCAGTAGGGGTTTTCCATGTACAAGAAAAGGAAATCATCCAGGAAATGTTTTGGTCACACTCAACTGATCAATATATAGGATTGAATATATGGAACACATATCATGGATTGTTTGATGAGAATTCTTTCATTCCTAAGTCTTACAACATGAAAACAGATTATTGAGCTTTATGATCAGTTCAAGTATCTCCCAGCTTGTTTATATCACAGTTGTCATCTTCCAATCATCTAGTACCAGTTTCATGGGTCCCTATCACTATGTTGGATGCTTGAGCCAAATCAGCTGCCATATGAGTGTGTCTATATCGCAAAAGAAGCCTACTGATTTATTTATGTATATGTATCACTCATTGAACATTTATTCAATCCAAAAAAATAACTTGAACAAAAGCATTACTTGAGTTTCATGTTTATCTTTTTTTACTTACCTTCTCTTCAACCACCATGAGTATTGACTGATTAAATGAAATCCTTTGAGATTTTTGGCTACCTGTGTGGATTGTCTTCAAGACTTGTGAGAGATTATCTAATTCAACAAGCCTTTTTGCCAGCGTTATTTGGGAACGGTCTTCCAAACAGCTGGTTGATATTGCTTGCGGACTTGATCGTAAATGTACAAAATTGAGTAGGACTGTCAGCCTACTCTTGAGGGAAATGCTCCATTGCTTTTCTAAGCTTGAAAGGGGTGCTAAAGTTGGGAACTTGCCACCTCCACTATGGAGTCTCTGAACTCTACCCAGAAACTTGAAGAATGTGTCATTTTTGACCTACTTGCAGATATCTTTTTGCTTCTTGATAACAGCCGAGTCCGAGTTTTGACCAAACCAACACCAATCCAAGATACGAAAGATTGTTAAGCGCTTCTCAGTCATAATCTATCGAGAAGTGGTAGTTTCGAGTGAATGCTAGATGTCTTACTTGGGTATCTGAGGAAGGCTGCGCAAAGAGAAGGTCTGGGAAGTTTTTTTTTGGCTTATCAGTTGAGCGAGAGATGAAGTGGTCACAAGCACTCAAGTGAAAATCAGCAGCTGAGTTGATATGAGCTGATCAGTTGTGAGTTTGGATTGAGGATTGAGTTGTAGATAGGATAGTGATAGTGGTCAAATGATCAAGAGTGAGGATCGGTATGATGAGCCATTCATGAGCAGTTGTTGGTTAGTTAAGATCTGATTCTGTTATGTAGTACTTTAAAAATTCACTTGGTTTTTCAAATCCGACTTTACAAAATACACAATCCCACTTCAACTTCTCTTTACCTACCATTGCCAAATCAAAAACAATCCATTCACCAAGAACAAAACATCAAATCAAATCAAATCAAACTTATAATCAAACTCACCATGTCCGACTCAGAACAAACTCAAGCACCAGAGCACATCAACGTAACTCTCTCATCTTCTTCAAATCTTTTTTTCGCGTCTTTTTCCATCGTATTCTAATCATATCTTCTTTCTTTCAAATCTCACTCTACATCAGATTAAAGTCGTCGATGGTAAAGGTAGTGAGGTGTTCTTCAAAATCAAATCATCAACAAAACTCGGCAAACTTATGGACGCCTACGCCGAACGAGCTGGACATATGAAGAGCTCAGTTAGGTTTATGTTTGATGGCATCAAGTGAGATTGTCCCCTTTTAAGACCAAGAGATGGGATTCGTTTGCTCCATCTGGCTTTGATTCCATGTCTTTTGCTTTGTGCAAGTTGGAAATTATTTGGTATAACCCGCTGATCGTTGTTGTCTTCTTTTCTTGTTTCGTACCATGAACTCAACCAACTCCGGATAATGTGTAGAGTGAAGCCAGAAGTAAGTCTTGGAATTATGATATTGAATGCACATATGAACTAACATTCGCGTGATCGGAAACCATAGAACACGCCGTTGGACGTGAGCTAGCTTCTTTAAATCGACCTTTTACTTCTTATTGAAAAAATTTACCCGGACTTTTGAATATAGCTCGATATGAACGATAACGATACGATCGAAGTCATGATTGAGCAGGTCCGCACTCTGCCTGACCAGTGATACCCTTTCTGTAGTCTCCTTTCACTAATCCGTCCTTTGTTTGTTTTCTAGGTCGGCGGTGCACACCTACCTCGGTGGTCACCATAAGTCTCAAACCTTTCCAAATGTACGTTGACGCGCCCCACAAGCTCATCGCGTAACCCAATCATCAAGCCTTAATGTGTCGAACTGTGTCTTACTCGCTGTCTCTGCATCACTTACGACCCTTCAATAAGGGAGTTTGGTTTCATTCAATACAAACCACTTTACATTCCCGCCTTCTCCTAACCCGAAATCGAACCGGTTAAGGAGACGAAGACCGTCAATATAGAGTACCCTTTTTTCAAGAAAACGTTTCTAAGAATCGTGTTTAAATTGTGTGTGTTTTGACTGTGTATGATGGTTCACGAGTTATATATACATAGGTACATAGTGATCTACACAAATCTTTTTTTACATCTCAATAGAAATGTATACTCTTTCTTTTTTTTTGGTTTGTTTTGTTAACTCAACTTGACTGTTTAATCTTCTTTGGATGAATTTGTTGGATGAGAAGCTAAACCTTTACAAAGCTTTTTAAACCAACTCTTCATTTTCCTTTTGTCTACATGATCACTTATGCGACCTTTAGGAATACTGGTGTTTTGTTGTGTGCGCTTGTTGTTGTTGTTGTTGATCTTTAAGACACCAGTATGATTACTAGCATGGAGAAGCAAATCTGATTGTGTTCTTTTTGTGTTGTGTTGGCTTTTTGATTTGCAAAATCTCTTGATGATCTTCTTATTTGTAATCCTGAAGAAGTTTAGTACCTTCAATACATACATGGTTGATGGTTTGATCTTGGTTGGAAATTCGATGGTCATTTTTAAGGATCTTTGAACCCTGTTTTGGATTTGACATGCGGTTTCTTTCTGAACAGTTTTTTGCTCGAGTCTTTTTCTACTGCAGAGACTAGGATTTGGGTAGACTTATCTCACAAAGCTTGACGAGAGTTTTGAGACAAATCACTTGGATTTTGTGGGTCAACTTTGGTCTACCTTTTTTGAAATCGATTGTAAAAATAATGAGGCCGTCTGAAGAGGTTGCATTGAATTTAGCTCTTTTGGGCTTTGCATTCCTTTTTACACACCTCTTTTAAAATCGAGATTCACATAGTTCGGCTACTCTTACAGCCGTTGTGACAAATAATGGTTTTTTTTTTCTCCTTCTTTACTTCCAGATTTTACTCGCTTTTTGACTTGTGGAAAAACAGGTAAAAACAGGTTTTTTTTTACTTGTCCAGTGGGAAACTGTCATCATTAATTGACAGTGTCCCACATATTCTATGCAAAGATCTACCCTACACTTCCAGTATCCGCAGGAGTTACTGGAGATAACCCAGCCGGTGGTGGATATTCTGGTAGGTTGCAAATATCCTCGTACACAGAGACATCTCCAAAATCTGTCCCGGGTTTTGTTTCTTTCTACCTCGACTTCGCTGCCTGAATAGGCCCAACTTCTTCCCAAAATGCCCCCGGTGAATTTGTTTAATTTTTCAGCCTCTCATACATGTCGCCAAGCTCATAGGATTGATTTTCAGGTTCGAATCGCCCATCACAGCCCGGAGGTCAAGCTCTCTGTGGTTCGAATGGCCCTCAGCGGGGTTCGGTTCCAGGATATCTCAAGAACACTTGGTATAACCTTGGCCCTTACCTCTGTACGCCGCTGGGTCAAGCTCTACGAGGAAACCCGCGCAGTTGTTACAAATCCAAACGATCACATGGCCCGTGGCGCACCTTTGGTCTTAGGAGGTCCCAAAAGGCTCTTTGTGTTGGATAGCCTTCGCCTGGATCCAACATTATACCTGGACGAGCTTCAAAGCAAGATTATGGACCGATTTAATCAACACGTTTCCATCAAGACCCTTTCTACCGAGCTACGTGATCGATTGTGTTGGACACGGAAGAAAGCACGCACGGTTCATCCAAACCAAAGTTTGGCCGCGCGAGGTGCCTACATGGCGAGAGTCCTCGACATCGACCCTCGTTGCCTCGTCTTTGCCGGTAAGTGCCATCATTCCGCTCGATGTTGGTTCTTATTCTATGTATTGATATTGAGAATACGCTGTTATGACCCTAGACGAAACTGCGATCTCCAAACGGCGTTTGTTTAGAGAATACGCACGTGCTCCAATTGGAGAACAAACCCCCCGCCTCCCTCAACCCACTCAAGCCGGGCGATGGTCAGCGTTACCTGCCATCTCGCTTGATGGCTTACTGGCTATTACCATCAAGCGAGGTGGTTATTCTCGCTTGGACTTTGAGGCGTTCTTGGAGAACGAGTTGGTGAGTCCACATGTTTTCTTTCTTACATCCATCATCTCGTCTTTTCGAGTATGGCTGCTAATGTACTTTACCCTACATATAGTTACCGGCCATGAATCCATGGCCGGCGCGGAATTCTGTGCTCGTGTTAGACAACGCGCCTATCCATCACGGCGGCATGGTTGCGGAATTGTGCCGAGCTCGAGGTGTCAGGGTGCTTTACTTACCTGCGTATAGCCCGGACCTCAACCCTATTGAGAAGGGGTTTTCGCCGGTGAAAGCGAATCTGAGGCGAAGCCAGGGGCTTCAGGGTGCGATAGATGCCAATGGGGAGCGGGCCGTCGTTTGGGTCACCATGATGGAGGTTTTCACGGATGAACTTTGCGATAAGTTGTTCAAGGGGAGCGGCTATATGTAGCCCGATGGACACCCGGAGATGTTCCTGGTTTTTCTTTCAAAGTCTCTTGTTTTTCTTTCAAAGTCTTTCAGTTTCGTATATGAAAAGCAATCATAACTTTTTCTTGATCGATACCAATCGATGTCCTGAGAACCGGAGTGAAAAGGAGTCATCGCAAGTTTGCGAATGACCCTTGACTTTCACGAGAGTCATGAGTCTTGGGCAATTCATGAAAAACAGATGTTTCGAATGAAGGATGACTCAGCCTTCGTGAAAGATTGACCATTCTTATTGGGTCAATCTTTCTCGGTCAATATCCACAAGGAAATATTGACCTTGAAAGAGTGAACTTGGGTGTAAGATGCTGACTCGGTCCAGATGTCACTCTTATGATGTCAATTAATACTATCGACATCATAAGGGTGAGGTGGGTATCATGTATTGATCGTTTCACTGGGCATTTAAGGACTCCAAAACTTTCCCATTGAGCACCTGGAATATTTTGAAGAGTCGGTTAAGTTTGAATCAAATTGGCCATATTTCAAAGTTGCAAACAACAAACTATCAAAGTTGAAGTAGACATATCAGACTGCACAAGACACGGAACAAAGAGGAAACAACGTAGACAAGTCACAAGTTTGGAGACGGGTGGTTAGACACATGTAAGACCACTTTGGATTTTCATGGAAAAAAGATTGGAACAGTACATCGTAAACGATAGCATTTACGAGTCATTTTGAATTTGGAAACAATCCGTCTCACTCGGCGGGGGTTGAAGATTCTTGCTGGGCATGAGCCTCCGCGGCAGAAGTGAGGAGGCGTTGAGCCATGTAGAATGGCATCCCATGGCCAGTCAGGACATTAGCTGTCATTTGGACGCTGGGGACCAGGTCGGTCCAGGACACCACATTAGCCTTACGGAGGATCTTACGAGTGGCAAGATCGTTGCGAGGGACTTCGCAAGCAGAGAGAAAGTCGTCCAAAAGTGTCGAATGGGTCACCACGTACTCGACATCAGAGTCGGAAGCGTATACAACCGTTTCGGGGACATCCTCGTCAGTGAGGAGCAAGATAGGCTTGGTGGCAAGATCACCCGAGGCTGTGAAAATAAAATCAATTTCGAAATCGAAATTGGAAAAAAACGTAATATGCTCACAAGATTCCTGCTTGATCTTCTTGATGGAGGTCACGCTGGTTAGAGAAGATGACGTGCGTTCCAGCGCACGTTTGGAGCCGGAAGGACTTTCCGATTCTATCTTGACCTTGACATCGCTGGCAGGAGGGTTCGCGAAGAAGTTGCGATGCTTGGCTTGGGAGCTTGAAGCTTGGGCCGCAGGCATGGCAACCGGGTAGCGTTTCTTCACTCGATTGTCGACATTGGTGGCCAGATGATTCATCTGGTTTTTGGCCATCTCCTTCTTGTACTCGGTAGTACTAGGAGGGATCGCCCGTGTGGTGTAACCATCGCGCTGGTGGTCATCATCGTAGTTAGCCCGGGAGAAGAGAAGGAAAACAAGGAGGAGAGAAAAAAAACTTACAATCGCTCTGGCCCATATGAAGGCACACCGATGCGAAAAGCGATAAAAGAAAGTTGGATCCCAAGGTGCCGTCAAGATCGCGCCATCCCCACCAAGAGCTCTTTCAAGGTGATCTTGGTAGATACTAGCCGCCTCGAGCTCTAAATCTTTGGCCGCTTGGACCGCCTGGTTGAGCCAATGAAACGCGAAAGATGAGCATGCAAGACCTAAACCACGCGATGAACCATATCACGCTCACCGCGGTTTCCTCTTTGGCCTCGGCGAGCTCCTCCTTCGAAGCGGCTAGGGCTCCTTCAATCGAGTTCGGGTCCACAGTTCCTTTGATGAACGCCACCGCACTAGTAGCCTATGTAGCGAAAACAACCGTAAATCGATCAGATACCACACGAATCAAAGAAACACATACCATTCTTTGAGGAGATGGTAAAGAGAAAAGTACACACCTGGGCAGTCTTCTTAGCCTTAACTTGAGGTTTCTCCAACACAATGTTCACGGTACCTTTCGAGCTACGGCTCTTTCCCAGATTGTTGACAAAGTCTTGGTAATTCTTGTAATCGGTCAATTTGGTTTTCTTTGAACCAACAGTTGCATTCCAGGTCAACAACGGTGCCAACGCGCTTTCAAGAACGACCTTCTTGATTCCGGGGAAGTACAGGTCGCAAACGTTGCCAACTAAGTCTTTGAACTCTTTCAAGGATTTTCCGTACATGAAGACCTTGGAGTCTAAGACCAGTCCGTCATTGAAGTCGGAGGAATCGATGACGGTGAACTGAGGGGTTGGAGGTGGCTTCTTCCTCCCGGTGGTCACTTTTGCAGGAGTCGGTTTGGCCATGCCAGGTGCGACATCAACAATGTCGTTCGTGTGGATTTTGAAGCCCACCGCAATCGTAAACGATTGACTTTCTTCCATCAATCGACGAGATTCGGTTCCTTGGCGCCAGAGGCGCGCGAGCGTAGGATGACGCGCTGGGGCATCGTCCCCTTCCGTGATCAAAAAAGGCGGATCAAACACTGCAGGAGATCAATATCAGCTGGATGAGTAAGTGAGAAATACAGAATAGAGAAACTCGCCTTCATCGGGATTCTCATCCTCATGGATCAAATTTTGAATAGGTTCGAGTGGCATTTCTGGTAAAGATGTTGAAGAATCAGCGTGTTATCAAATGGAACAAGGTGGGAACACTGACTGATATGACTTTGAATTGAACG